TTCGCTATACGCTGCTACGTAACACTACATCTTATTTGCGCAGGCGGTGAGGCCTGAAGTGAGTTTAGACGCGATAAAAGCTCGTGCTCTGTTTCTGTGATGGGTCACTTTAAAGAAGACCCAGGAGGAGGTTCCTGTTTGAGTTCCTGTTTTTGATTTCCTGACACATACTGTTTGCTTCTTTTAGTAAATGTAACGCTGCAGAGCAAATACGGACTCTTCAGTCATTAGAGTGACAGACGTAAAAGATTCCTTCAGGTGTATCGAGTTAATCACGGATGTTTGGATATTAGTAAGCATGTATTGTATATAGTCTACCATGGGAATAAGTTCGTCCTCTTTATGCTTTCATTCTGTGGCCACCGCAATGCAATGTAGCCTATTGCGATACAGAGTGATAGGAGCTGAATATTTCTATGGAGAAAATAACGTGTTTGTTAGTATTGATATTATAGTGATATTGGATATATTTCCAAGGACGTACGCACAGGTTGTCTGTGACATATTTTTCTTAAATATATCTAGAGGTACAAACGATGGTTGGCTACTGTGTAACTTCTGTGGTTTCGGTCGACATCTGTGGCTCAAGTGTTCTTGCGGAAGAACCCCACTGCGCGAAAGATTTTCATACTTCGAGGTGTGCCAATGATTACCTAGCTATCTATCGGTCCACGGGAACTGTCCAGCAAGGAAAGATCACCTTAGTCAAAAAATCGCCATCTCTGAAAAGCCAAAAGCGAAAGAAAGAAAGACTGAGAAGTTGTTCTCACCTGACAAGTTGTAATTTATTAATGTCAGTGTCAAGAAATATTCAGATGTTATAATTTTACTCTACCCAGTTACAACCAAGAGATCAACCCTGTAACAACCAACCTGGTCTCTCTTATATTTCTTGATGGTAAAATAATAAGCAGAAACCTGCAGTCTGTATGTTTTAATTTTGTATTACTCCCCTCTTTTTCGGGTAATTTTTTGTTCCATGGCGAGTACCAATGCATTTTCATAACTTTAAAGTTAAACATAAAGTTACAATTTGTTGAAAAAATATCATATGCTTTTTAATGGCAAGTTTCATTGAGTCAGCTTACCACAATGATCACTCAAATTTACTTTTGTGCTTTTTTTCTTGCTAATAATTGACAATTTGAATTATGAAATTATGAAAAACTTTCTCTCTGCTTTTTTCTTATCTTCCTGTACAGAAGTCTTCGAGACTGCAAACTCAGAGACTTTTTAATAAGTTGTATGTTTAATTTGCTCCACTGATAACCGCTCTTAGATGGAGGAGGCGTATGCAGCACTGTACCAGGAGTTTGTCTGTCTCCAGTCACTCTGCTTAAAACAAGCAGCAATAATACAACATCTCTCTGACACAATACAACGACAGCAAGGTCAGAAGACTCTCGCAAATAAACTACAAATTACTTCATGTATGATTAATGTCACAATGTATTAAATGATCGTATACACCAGGGGTTCTCAACTCTGGCCCTCGAGATCAGGGTTGGAGCTAAACTCTGCAGGAAAATGGATCTTGAGGGCCAGAGTTGAGAACCCCGGGTAATGCACTATGATAAATGAAATTAATGTTCACTTTCAGGTTTGGCCTCGGCTCCAGCTAGGAACTTTGGAAAGCCGTGTCAGCGCACAGAGGAAAAGTCAGGACATCAACTCCACGAACACGAACCTCTAGGACATCCCACTGGACCACACATACTGGACCCTCAAAGTATAGTATTCTCGTTATGTCTGTTAAAATGATAATTTGAAAGATTTAAATTCAACCATTGACTAAAGGCCAATTAACACCAAGGATGATAACTATAACGATATAGTTCCAAAAATTGTTCTAAATTCAAAATAGCAATTCACACCAAAACAATAACGATAACGGCACAAATATCGTTGGAATCATCGTAGTACCTTTTCTTTCTCCAGCTGATAAACGATAAAAATATTGGCAGCCAATCAGAATCCATCCTGCTTAAAAAAAAGAGCTTGATCATTTAAAGACAACAGAACTGCAGTGTGCACTTCTAATAAACAACGTTATTGAGTGTTGCAAAAATTGTTCTAAATTCAAAAGAATAGCAATTCACACCAAAACAATAACGGCACAAATATCGTTGGAATCATCGTAGTACCTTTTCTTTCTCCAGCTGATAAACGATAAAAATATTGGCAGCCAATCAGAATCCATCCTGCTTAAAAAAAAGAGCTTGATCATTTAAAGACAACAGAACTGCAGTGTGCACTTCTAATAAACAACGTTATTGAGTGTTGGTGTGGATGCTAATGTAGTTATCATTACAGATATTGTTCTTGATATTTCTATTCTCTTACTTTTGTCTGCAATTCTGAATCTTTTGACCTCAAGCGTTAAATCAAGTTATGCATATGTTTGTTTGTCAGCTGGTAATGATCTCAGTCGTATCGATAGAGGACTAGACAAACTGCATCTTAACCTGGACATGCCAGATCAGAAGCAGGGTGACCATGATAATGCAGTTTTCCACAATCCTGTAAAGACTGTGGAAAACAATGCCTGGGATGACCTGAGGAAAGTTGAGCAACATTATTATGCTAACCAGACTTCACAAAGGCTGCGGGTTCGTATCATACCTGTGTTTAGTTAGCTTTGGTTCACTTCAGTTCCTTTAAGTTCCCAATTTGAATGTGTCTAGTCCTTCTGATCACACCTCCTGCTAAACACCTCACTACAATTACTAGAACATCTGACATGTGTGAGAAGACTGTTTCTCTGTCCCGCAGAGGCCCTGGTCATCCTCGTTTCTGGACAGTGAGTTGGTCAGTCAAGCCGGAGGGCTGTTCATGTCTGGAGTCACGCTGCAGTCGCAGGTGTGTGAGTTCTGTCACGCTGTGTTTCCTGGACACACAAGCACCCGTGGAGAGTTTCTGCGTCACCTCACTACTCACATGACCTGAAGGAAAACAATGCTGGGAATCAAATTCATCAAAAATGAAGATGAGATGAGAAGTGAACACACTGATAATGCCAGTAATGGACTATCACATGTTTGATTTTGAAACTATTTGAGGTTTGGTCAGTGATGATCAAGATTTTTTTATTAAATTGTAAAGCACACAAAGTTGTTGTGCAAGTACTTAACAAAAGTAAGACGAAAAAGTAACGAGAAAGTAAGAACAAAAAAAATGTTATGCATGCACATTTATTTGTCGTTTCGTTTTATCATGATAATAAAATGATTCATCTCCTATTTTCATCTTGTAATTATTTGGTTCCATCACAAAAAGTGTCTGTTTTGTACCAGTCGAAATTTTGTGAATATATCATTATTTTTAGAATGATTTACTGTTTTTACCCAAATGCTGCATTTTCACAACCATTAAGCACAAGGTAAGAGTATAGTGCCGTCTAGCAATTAATTTTAAATACACTGGAAAATGTTGTAATGTAGGGAATCAATGGATCATCCCAACTGGTAGCATGAATGCTGTAAAACCTCAGTTTATCAGTGGTTGTTTACATGAACACCACTGTGATAATTGACAGCAATTAAAGGGTTAGTTCACCCAAAAATGAAAATTAGGCTGTGTTTTACTCACCCCCGAGGCATCCTAGGTGTATATGACGTTTTTCTTTCAGACGAATCCAGTCGGAGTTATATTAAAAATTGTCCTGGCTATTCCAAGCTCTATCATTGCAGTCAGCGGGTGTTGCAATGCTTCAGTCCAAAAGAAGTGAAATAAAAAGCGCCCATCCATTAAAAAAAAAAAGTGTCTCACACGGCTCCGGGGGGTGAACAAAGGCCTCCTGTAGCGAATCGATGCATTTTGTAAGAAAAATTACCATATTTAAAACGTAATAATCACTTTAATCTAGCTTGCGCTCACTGTTGTACGCGGAAGCTTGACTTATGGAGGTCGGCTTTGCGCATGCGCCGCTCAGAAGTGACGAACGCGGAAGCGCAGGGGAGAGATCAAAACAAAACAACGGTCACTTATTAGAAGTACAAAACGAGGATTTGTAAAGAAGAATGTCGGAGGATTTCAATATAAGCCAAGAGGACACTGGTTTTCCTTTGATAAAGTAAGGAAACTTTGCTTTTTTTGATCCTGTAAACAAACGTTGGTTTTCACGAGACTCACCGGCGCACGCACAACGCTGAACTCATACGTCATGCTACCGGAGCTGCTTCCGTGTACAACTGTTGGCGCAAGCTAGATTAAAGTGATTATTACGTTTTGAATATTGATATTTTTCTTACACAAATGCATCGATTCGCTACAGGAGGCCTTTGTTCACCCCTGGAGCCGTGTGAGACACTTTTTTTTATGGATGGGCACTTTTTATTTCACTTCTTTTGGACTGATGCATGCAACACCCGCTGACTGCAATGATAGAGCTTGGAATATCCAGGGCAATTTTTTATATAACTCCGACTGGATTCGTCTGAAAGAAGAAAGTCAAATACACCTAGGATGCCTCGAGTAAAACACTGCCTAATTTTCATTTTTGGGTGAACTAACCCTTTAAGGCAAGGCGGATTAAGACGTTTACATGACATGGCCAAATCTCTTTAGTCTTGTTTACATCCTACTTGATGTTACTTTTTAGATTTACAAAAAAAACGGTGTTTTTTTGCCTTGAAACAGACAACCTTCAAGGCGCTCTAGTACACATGGACATGCTCTTTGTAGACACAATACTTGCAGTGTATCTGTTTCGGTTTCTTGAACAAGCTAGCCTAAAGGGATAGTTCACTCAGAAATCTGTCGTTCCAAACCTGTATGATTTCCTCTTCTTTCTTTTTTTTTGCAAAACACTTGAATATTTCGAAGAATGTTTTTCTGTCACAAGGGTCCAAAACAACACTGGACTCCTTTGACTTTCATTTCATATAGACAAAAAAACACTGCAAAATATCTTTCAAAATATCCTCTTTTGTGTTTCACAGAATAAAGAATGGCATGATCTTTGGTTAATTTTTGGTTAATCCCTTTAATTATAGGCCTCCACAAGCATATTACTCTAATGAAATGAATTTATTGATTAGCGATTGATTAAAGAGTGAATTAGCCACTAGTGGCACCAAACAGAACTGAAACAATAGACACTTCCCCATCTGTGAGATTGATGATGATGATGATGCTGATGGCAGGGTAGGGCTAGTGAATCACAGGCATCATCTGTCTTGGTTTGTTGAGATGACTAGGGTGAGTGTGGGTGGTGGAACCGTGTCAGAAATGAGACAGAAACATCAAAATTGTCTATACATTTTCACATATAATACTGTATGTATCTTAGACAAAAGCAGTGGATGAATAAAAGTTAGAATAAATCAGCAATATTCTGCATGTTGTAATACACAAGTTTCTATTTTTACACTGTTAGCAAAATAAAAGTAACAATCTAGAGAAGTAAACAGGAGAAACATTACAATATAATTTATTGAGAAATTAAAAAATAAATAATCTGTCATTGAATAGGCAACATACATATTTCTAACATTAGCGCTGTAATGCACAATTCTTACAAATTCATTAGCCATTCAACCTTTAAACAGTGAGAATACTATTTTTTTCCCCCCGTGATTCATTTGAATCATTTACATTTTGTAACCTGTGAAATCTCATATGTGCATTTAGCGTTCATATATTAATATTTACTGCATCAGCAAGTTCCTAGTGTCGGGGTTCTTAATATAGTCAAATTCAGGATTTCACATGTTAATATAATCCAAAACTTGTAAATGTACACGTGTTTTGCTCGCTGTACATAATAAAGTGTTTGATATATATTTATTCTAGCGTTGTGATTGGTTGGATTAAATAAACATGCTCCCCCCACACTTTTGTTAGAACTTCATCAAAACTGAGAAAATGGAATGAGACACTGTCTTAGTTCACAGCTCCGCTTAGAACGAGAAGCATGTCATCTATCCTAATAAATTAAGGTTTGGGTAATGGATGCAGATGCTATTTCATTCTAGAATTTGCTTGACACAAAATTAGCACCATTGAAGCTTTTTACTGACATACTGGTAAGTCAAAGTATCCTGACAGAGAACATGGAATGTATTTGTAACACTCGTTGCTTGCACTAACCTGCATGTGCTGCAAATTTCATTTGCAAAGACAAAAGAACTTTCAACATTACAACATCGCGAACCGAACACCACGGCTGCATTTAGACATGATATCCAACCTGAGTTCAACATGGAGACTTGCAGACTGTGAGTTATGGATCGTCTTTGGTGTTTGCTGGACTGCTGCTTCTGTTACTTGATCCTCTCCTCTCCGACACTTTCTCCTCCATCTCTATGAGAATATAAACAAGGTTTGTTTTTTGATTAAAATTTTAGAATGACTATTTTTTTTTAATAATCAAGAGTGTCGGGAACACGATACGGTACTTTACAGTATCAAATGTCTATTGTTTATTTTTCTGTTTCTTAAAAATCTTTTCATTTGAGCAGATTCTGAGAAATGTAGCATTACAGCACTTGCTCACCAATGGATCCTCTGCAGTGAATGGGTGCCGTCAGAATGAGAGTCCTGATAAAAACATCACAATAATTCTCAAGTAATCCACACCACTCCAGTCCAGCAATCAATGTCTTGTGAAGTGAAAAGCTGCATGTTTGTAAGAAACAAATTCGTCATTAAGACATATTTACTTCAAACCGTTGATTCCGACTGAATACGAGTCCTCTATGTATATTATTGCTTTCTGCGGTAAAAAAAAAAGTAATCTCATCTGAACCAGGAGAGAAATATACACAGATCAAGCACCGTTTGCAAATGAAAACAGTCCAAAATTGTCCTAAACAAATAAGTTGGTGGATTTTGATGAGAATAAGGACATGGACGAGTTATGGCCAGATACTTATGGATTATAGACTCGTATTTTGGCCAGAAACAATGGTTTAAAGTTAAATTGTCCTGATGATGGATTTGTTTTGAACTTTCCATTTCACAACCCGTTAACTGATGGACTGGAGTGCTGTGGATTACTGTGATGTTTTTATCAGCTGTTTGGACTCTCTTTCTCACGGCACCCATTCACTGCAGAGCATCCATTGCTGAGACACTGATGCAATGCTACATTTCTCCAAATCTGATGAAGAAACAAACTCATCTACATCTTGGATGGCCTGAGGGTGAGTACATTTTCAGCAATTTTTTTGGGTTAACTATTCCTCTAAATATGTTCTGCTCATTCATTCAAAGAGTTATCAAAAAGAGACTAGAATTTGGAACTGGGAGAGTCAGCATTTGTATCATTGGGTTTCCCATTGCATTTCTACTTGTGCTATTATTGATGTGAACATCACAACTCCCCACACTTCGGCAGACATTAATAATACATTACAGCAATGCAATAAAACATTATATTAAAACTCATATTATTATGTGAAGGCAGAACAATGCGGAGGAATGACTGCGTAACTGCAGAATGACTGACAACGCAATGAAATGAGGAACTTGCATTTTCGCTTGAAAGAGACAACACAAAAAAAGACAAAGAAAGACTGATTAAAGCTCATTTTTGGCCATTCCACTGAACTGAAGCACTAGTGTTTGCTCATTAAGATCCTGCATCCTTTCACTGCCCACATGGTTTATTTTTACTCTGTCTCTCTGAGTCAAAGCGACGCCCTTCTCACTCCCTCCTACTCGTTCACCCCCCTCTTTCTCTCCATCCATCCATCCGCCCTCCTCTCACACATTTTCATAAGCTTTGACGTCAGACAGGGAAGGGGGGCTCCAATTTATCACCCACACAGCACTTCCTGTGGCCCCCACCACCCATACGTGTTTTCTCTTCTCATTTCTCTTCTATTCTGTGGTCCCCAATGACTACGTCTGACTGAGATGTTTGCCTCTGTAAGAGCTTCTCGAATCTGACAATCTCTGATTCATTCCATCCTTAAAGACTAACTGGATTAGCTAACCAGATAAGTAAAATAAATCAGTTGGTCACTGTTCATCTATATATTCCTCAGAGACTCTTCAAGGTGTGTTAGTCTCTTCAATATCATCTCTAGTAAAAAGGAATTATTTTATTGCAAACCTGCAGCCTTTAAAGAAAAGTTCTCAAAAAATGAAAATTCTGTCATTTATTCACCCTCAAGTTGTTTCAAATGTATTTGCTTTTTTATTTCAGTGCAGTGAAAGTCAATGGGGTCCATTGTTTTTGGAACCCAAATATCTTCTTTTGTTTCATAGAAGAAAGACAGTCATACAGGAACAAAATGAGGGTAAATGATGACAGAAGAGAATAAAGGCACACATACTTTGTTCTTTAGAGAGGTTGAACTATTTAACTTGAGGTCTTGAACTCGACTGTATCCAGACGATTAAAATCATCAAATGTCATGATTCTGACAATCGTGAAACCCAAGAAGTAACACACTTATGACCCTTTCTACAGTACAATAATCTCCTTTAAAATAAATTCCAATTTTAAATAAATGGTGCTGTTGACTGTGTTTGTCAACCTCAACCAATCAACCCTTTAAACTGCCAAGCCGGTTCCCAGTTCTGACGTAGCTTTTTGTACTGTATGACAGAAATAGGTTACACTTTATTTTAAGGTGATGTTGTTTCAGTGTAATTACACAAATAAGCACAGAGTAATATTAATTAACTACATGTACTTACTAATTTCTTAGAGTTGGGTTTAGGGTTAGGGTTTGGTTTAGGGTTAGTTACATGTAATTATGCATAATTTCCTGTTATTACCATAGTAAGTGCATGAAACAGGTAACCACATCACCTTAAAATAAAGGGTTACAGGAAAAAATATCCTCATGTAGATTAACAAAATCTGAAGGTAAGCACTACGCATCTCTTTTTACTGACCCGAAGTTTAAAACTGGGAAGTAAATCCAAACTGTCTTGTACCCTGTTTGTAGCAGGTGCATGAGAAGCGTGGAGGTTATAGAACATGACAGAATTCTAGTATTCACCTGAAATCTGTCTCTTTTCTGACCCTAGGCTGACTTTGCTTGCGTGGTCACGTGACACCATTCTAGCCAATCTGAGGCCCTCATCCATGAGAGTTTGTTGCATGAGCTGGCGACTCCAGTTGATGAGGCCAGTGGTGTCGGTGAGGGGGTGAGGGGATGAGGAAGGGTGCAACTGAGGGCTGATATCTATCAAGACACAGAATTAACAAACATGCCTCTCAATCAAATGTTAGGTTTTCTTTCAGCAATGATGTTTTTCCCTGACATGAGTATGAATGGACACAAATTTGCTTTGTAATCTTCTATGCTTGATCTTTACATCATCTCAGAGTGGGAAAGTAACCCATTGTGATCACACTTTACGTGTGAAGTAGTCCTTCATGGCTTTGACCATTATGACATTTGCAATAAATGCAACATAGAATGTGGGACAATGATGGTTACATGCCTAAGATTTACTGACATACACCAGACAGTCATAATAAATATATCAATGTTTAAAATAAAAATAAGGAATCTTACCTTGTGTTAAACTATCTAGACTTTCTCCAGAGAGGCTGTTGTCATCCGCTGTAGATCTGTTGTCACTGTTGGCTACTGGATCCTTAGACAGTCTGTCCGAATCTGTGACCTGAAGCAAGCGGATTTCATTTCTAATGAAAGCATTACTTGTTTTGTCATAGTAGTTGGTTTGCTTCACTATAATTACAGATATGAGTGCAATAGTATTTCATAACTTGACATCCAATGTAAGCTACTATAACTCTCAATCCTTCATTCACATCTTTATTTTAATCCTATCTTGTTCATTTTCTTGTCATTTTGTAAATAGTAAAGTCACTAATTAATGAAGTGTAAGCATCTGCCCAAACTTCACCTGAGCATATTCCTGAAAGTCCTGTATACCATTTATACAGATTTATATATAGTTACATATCTTGATGTACTTACATCAAGCTTGATTCTCTTCTGAGCAGAACAGTCAACAGAGGCAGTACAATCATCTGAGTATGTCCTGAGATGATGATATAACAAACCCAGCTCAAATTCTGATCAAATAAGTTTAATTATAAAAAAAAGTCACAGTATTGAAGTCAAACACTCATGCTATCAATATTCAAGGGCAAATATAGAAATTAAAGGGGTCATATGATGCGATTTCAAGTTTTCCTTTCTCTTTGGAGTGTTACAAGCTGTTCGTGAATATGCAACAAATGCCTCGTTTATAATGGGTTTTAATGTTTTTTGACTGATGTTTTGTCCGGCCGGACACGGCATCACAGTATGGTAGGGGCGTAACATTTCCATCACACGCTTGAGGTATTTGGCCAATCACAGCACACCTCGCTTTTCAGAACGATGAGCTTTGTAAAAATCTACGAGTTTCAGAAAGGCGGGGCATAGAGGAGAAACAATAATGTACAGTATGCGGAAAATCATGTGTTTTTTGAACCTTAAACCGCATAAACACATTTCATTACACCAAATACACAAAATAATGTTCTTTTTAGCAGCATCATATGACCCCTTTAACACACAAGAGGCACCAGGGCTAGCTGTCACACAGGTATTTGTGAAAATGCCTGTATCTCAGAAACTTTAAGGATTACAAGAATTAAGAATTACAAAAATGTGTTTCTCCATCAGTCAAAAGATCATGTCAGATGGATTTATTAGATGTATTTTCTTATAAATTTAGAACATCTGTTACCAGGTATAAGGTCAAGGATGAGATGCAAGAAGGTAACCTTGGTCCAGAAGAACCATGCTCCACTACTACCCCCAATAAATTCCTCTCTACACAAGCACTTTGGACCAGTTTTCTTATTTTATGTCTTGAATGCATTGAAGATTCTGCTCAGCTAAAAGTCTAACTTGCTGGTTTTGAATGTACTACATAATCAATTATTTTTATGAATTCTGTCGTCCAAACTAAAATTCCACTATCATCATATTTTTGCTCGAGCTGTTGAATAAACAGCTTGAACACAATAAAACCAAAGAACTGTATGGTAAAAAGTCTGATCTTCAAATTTGGGGTCTCTTTCTCATACCAACAGTTCAAATTTGCTCTTATGTTTTTGATTATATCCTTTCAACCGTATGGTCAACAAACATAACTGATAGTTTTGTAATAGTCTCTCTACATAGACATTTATATGGACATGGTGCTGATGACACATTCCAGGTTTCATCATGATTAGCCAATGCATTGTGGTGAACTGAGCAGTCTCATTATTTTAGGCTAGTCTTTAATCCCCCACATTACTGCACATTTTGCATGTCTCCTTTGACTGACACACACATTTCAGGTCTTGGAGTCTCTACTAATGAGCTGATGAGTTGAATCAGCTGTGTCTGTCATGCAAAAACATGTTTGGGAACCACTCTTTTAGGCCAAACAATTGCGAATTTCCTTTTTTTTGTCGTCCAGATTTTATAGCCAGTAGGTGGCGCTGTCTCCAAAATGCTCTGGTACTCTCAGGTCTTGGTTGTGATGACAAACCAAATTTCATTTCATTATCTTATAGCATTGTGAAACTCAGGTCATTTTTGGTGTGCTTTCTGTTGAATGACTGTTCTATCTGATGACTTATTACATGCAAAGTGTTTGGTAAAAAAAAAAAAAAACTTTGAAGATGATATGAACCAAATTTGGTGAAGATCAAATAAAAATTCTGGGAGGAGTTAAAAAAAAAGCCTGTTTTTCAGAAAATTGGCATGAGCCTAGGTATCAGAAGAACAATTAATGTATGTGGATTTACTATTTATGCGTGTAAGTAAACTACATTTTTGCTTTATTCTATAAATTACTGACATCACTTCTCCCAGATTCCAAATAAAAATATTGGAATCTAGCATGTATTTGCAGAAAATGACAACTGCTCTCAATAATAATAATAATAAAAAAAAAAAATGCTTTCTGACCTCAAAGAATGACACATTAAGGCTGTGATTGGAAATCAGTTATTCCACAAATATTGATTTACACACTCTTCCCAAGATAAAACAATAGTATTGTGCTATTTAAAAACTTAATATGAACTTGTTTTCTTTGCATTATTCAAGGTCTGAAAGGACTGTATCATTGATATTTTGACCCGAAGTCATTTTCTGCAAATGAATACTATAAAAGTCGTTTTGATTAGTATTATTTGAAACATGAACATTGAAACATTGAAAGAAAATGTTCAGTTTACTTAAACACACCAATTTTGTAGTGGTCTCTTAATTTTTTTCCCGCTGCTGCATATACGGTGTATATGTGCATATTTTAATTATGCCTATATCTATACATGTAAATATATTTAACAATACATATAAACCACCTTATCTGGATGCAAAATCTGAAACCATTTCAAAATCTTAATAAAAGTCGTTCCTGACCTGTTATGTTTAAATGTTGACGTGTAGGCACATTCTCTCGCCACTTGTCGAGCTAAAGAGAACAGTTCAACTCTACGTAACAACAGAGCGTTGTCACGGATGCAGAATTGAGCTGCAGCCTCATTGATGAGCATCTGAAAGTGGAAATATTCAAATTAAACCGGATCATCTGAGCTCTATGAAAGTCAAGGCATTTTGACAACTACAAAATGCATTAAACAACTCCTGTCATTTTTATAGTAGCCTACATATTTACAACTGGTGTTTTAAAATGGATGTTATCAAATATTACTGTGAAATCTAGGAGTTGCAGTTAGTTCTTTAAAGTTTATCACAAAAACGTCTTGGAAAAACATATGCAAAGACTTGTGGAATAATAATAAAATGAATCCCCTGAAAATGAAATGGAGGAATTGCTGGATTATTTTTTCAAGGTTTGAAAACTGGGCTGTACTCAAAAGATTGTAGAATCAAATCTTGCTTCCCCGTGCAAAAGTCATCGCCACAATGCTAAGATGTTGTGTGTGGTTGCCATGCTAAGCAGTTGCTTACGCTTTCTGTGTGTTATGCAGTTGCTAGAGTGTTATGAGTCGTTGCTTTGGGATGGAAATGGTCCCATTTCATTATCTACAATATAAATTGTAAGTCTGATTGCTTATTAAAGTAATAGCACACCTCTCCTTACTTTGAGTTTTGTATACTGTAGTAATATAGTTTACAGTTTAATACACTGTAACAGTAGTAATTTTCGACTTAGCAAACACTAAATACAAGATATTTACAGCAGATTAGTTTAGTTTGAATTTAGCTAATTCATTGTAGAGATACAGAACAATACTTTACTTTAGTATTGTTTATTACAACTAAACTTGAGAAAAAAGTAAAAAAAAATTAACATTTCTCTGTGTAATTTGTTCTGTTTAACAGACCTCATGATGGGTGAGCTGTTTCCCTTCCCTCCTCTTGGAGTCAAAGCGGCCATAGATCAGGCTGTATTTGCGAATCTCTTCCTCTTTGCTCTTGTCTTGAGGTTCCAGGTGGAATATGTGTCCCACCGTCTTGGCCATTTTCTTATTGAGTCTCAAAAGCGTCTTCACCTCGGTTTGATCTGCTTGCGGCATGGTTCTTAGAAGCCTATCAACGCTTTCCTCCACGGCTTTAATGGTCTCTGGGTCCGGCTGACCTCCGGGCCACGGAGAGGTCATAGTGGAGGAGGATGAAGAAGAAGCTGGCGTCGGAGGACCAAGAAGACGTGAGTGGCAAGCGAAAGGCAGATGGGTAATGGGCTGTTCTTCATCTAACTCAGCGGTTCCATACATTTCAGGACTGAGCCAGTGGGGATCCATGGGGTACAGTTTTTCTCTGTACAGATGGTCTGGAGGTACAGGAGAGGCCTGTGAGCAGGGGCTCTTTGGACTGTTATCTCTGAGCGGCGTAAGGCAAGATCCTACTTCCTCTCTTTCACACGGAGAGCCTGGCTGACCGTTGCTTAAAGATTTTCTGGCGCCCATAACCCCAGAGCCAGCAGCACTGCTACTGTCGATCCTAAGGAGAGGGATTCCACAAGGGGCCACATTGGTGGCCAGGGGTTGGTTGAACAGCGTTGGGTTTGCCGCCCAGTCGCGCAGAGCCTTCTGCAAACGCCGCACATGCAGGGGTTTTGTGGCCATGCCAACTAGTGCCATGATCTCGAGAAATTCCTCTTCGCCAGCCTCGCACAGCTGTTGGACATCATCACCTCCCTGCTGGATGAAGGTGTCATAGTACATCAGCAGGTTGGCCCTTTGTAAAACTCGGTAGAGCTGCAGCTCGCCCAGCGTCCGTGGTAGTGACATCCTAACGCTCGGCTGCAATGGGATTTCCACAAAACCTGTCATTAGTATCATTTAAAAACATGTGTGTGCATGTGCAAACCGGTTTATGTGGTTTTTGAGGACACAAATTTGTGTTGGGGAGTAACTAGTTACATGTATGATATTTTCTATCAGCTAACCCAACTTCTACCCCTAAACCTTCCTTTCACAGAAATATGTGCAAAACATTAGATTTAAATAAAAACATATTTTGGCTGATTAATAAGCCTTTTTAACTAGTGAGGGCCAGTAAAATGTCATCACTAGTGTTGTTGTCATGATCTTTCACTATATAAGTGAGGACATTTGGTCCTCACAAGTATAGTTAAACCAGTTCACACACACACACACACACACACATAAAGATTTAATGATTTCTTTCCCAAAATGCATTGACTGCTTTGAAATATGAGACACCAAGAGTTTAGGACACAGAATAGGACACATGAATTCGTGTATCATTCGATCATTCATTTTTTTATTTAATATTGAAAGTAGAAAAATGAGAAAACGGCTCCTTTTTAGTTTTTTTGTTTTTTTCCAAAAAAGGAAAAACGAAAATTCAGCTTAAATGTTCGTTTTTCGTTCATGGGTGGAAAAATGAATAAACAG